AAAAAAAAAAAAGGGTATTGATGTATGTTAATTGATAGAAGTATGCACCGACTGATTTTAAGGGATAAAAACAAAAATAGGGTTTGCTTCTGTCTAAAATTTTCTAGATTTCTAGTATATTGTATGAAACTATGGCTAAGGTTGCTGTATTTGCACACAAGTAGCAGATATCTGATTTCACATAGTTAACAAGAACAATAAAAAAGAAACAATCATAATTACATACCATAAGCAAGAGATATTCCAGATTTTCACCCAAGGGGAAATGCACAAATATAAAAGATTCAGATACGATATTACATTTTAGCCGATCTGATATCATCAAGCTTGTCAAGTTTTTCAACTACGGAACTACCACGTAGCTAGAAAGTGATGTATTGTAAATCTTAGATGTGTTGTAACCGTTCAATATAAAATAAAATAGGAAAAACAAAAGTAACGAGCTGGAAAGTTTAGTAAGAGAGGAAGTGAACAATGATATAAAAAAAGCTAAAAAGATATTCACTAACCGATTTTTTTACTTATAACAATAACTGATGATTTCCCCCAACTTCGTACAAGACCTTAGAAAGATGAGATTTTGGCAACTTCCGATATGCAAATATCAAAAAAAATATAAAGCTCAGTGTTCGATTGCAAGAATATCAGATTTCAACCAAGTTCTAATATATAATCAAAGGCGGATAGATGGGGTTAAGTATCCCATACCTTTCTCTAATCCCGTTAGCTAGCTGCACTCATAAAAATCTAAAGAAAACAAGTGATTTTATCTTTCCATCCAAGATTTGTTTGTAAATCTTTACGATACATCTTACATTCTCATCAAGCGTCTACCTTTACTAAAGTAATAATTTTGGCACTATCCAAGATATATAGGATGTTGTAAACCGTTCAAGAGATCATTTTGCTGGTAAATGTACGTAACATATCAAAAATAGATCCTATACAGCCAATTTCGTACATATATTTTCTCATCTCAATTTGGTTTCCCTTGCTTCTTACCACAAGTCTTTCTTTCGACAACAGAGATTGATTTAGGTTCAAAAGATGGCTGTCTTTCTTGCAGCTTTTGTTGCTACTGGAACTAAACACATTCATAGCAAGACTCCCACTAATAAAAATCACAATCAACAAGCTAGGACATAAAATAAACAATGTAGACACTTGCGAAAGCACCTATGATAATTTCCTACCAAAATTAACCACCAAGTCGAATATCCCACGCTCCCGAACCTCAACATTCTAACTATACATAAACAAGCAAATACTCAATCGAAATTTGATTCAATGAGACACTATCAAATCAACAGAACAACACAAAAAAAAAAAGTCAACCAAGATCTCGAATTTACCCATTGGCATCCACCACTTCCCTCGAAATCTTCATCTTTTTGGAAGTCCCCTTGTACAAATCCTCCAAACTGCACGGCAACATTCGCTCGATGGCAGGGGCCTTCCGAGGAGCACTGGGGCCGCCTTCCCCTCCGCCAGCCGCATTCCTAAACGAGGCGAATATATCATCTCCAAACATGCCCCTCGGGAAGCCCGATGGGCCAGCCCTCGACCCACCGGCCATGTTCCCCATATCACCAAAGGGGCTCGAAAACCCAAAGAACTCCGAAAATATATCGTCCGCGCTGCGCGGATTGAACCGGAAAGAGGCGGACCCGCCTCCATCCCTCCCGCCGGAAAATCCTCCGGCGCCGGGCGGCGGCATCTGCCCCTTAAGACCTTCCTCCCCAAACTGATCAAAGACAGCCCTCTTCTGCGGATCACTCAAGACCTGATTTTTTTCAATAAAAACTAGAGTTAAGCAGATAATTCGAGCGAACCCAGTATAATTTAGAAGATAAATTTGAGGAAAAGGGGGATTATGACATCGTAGGCCTCTGAGATTTGCTTGAATTTGGCCTCGGCTTCTTTCTTGTTGTTAGGGTTTTTGTCGGGATGCCACTTCATGGCGAGCTTACGGTAGGCCTTCTTGAGGTCGTCGTCGCTGGCGGAGCGGTCCACCTGGAGCACCTTGTAGTAGTCCACGCCCATGGCTTTTTCTTTTCAGCTCTCTCTCAATGTCAAATCGCCACCTTCCTCCAATTTCTGTTTGCCTTTGATGATGAGATTTGAGATTTTAATGTGTTTTCTGTAAATAAATAAGGAAAAATAAAAGAAAAAGAATTTATTCCTACGGTCTGTAGGTTTTTATTGGGTGCTATGTGCCAAGGCCCAAAGTACATGGGCTTAGAATTCAAAAGGCTAAGATAATGGGACATAGTACTCATCAATGGGCTCATCCTTTTGAAAAGCTCGAATTCGAGTGGGATATGATAATGGCCTTGTTTGACGATCAGCGGATAGCGGATAGCGGATAACAGATTGTATTAGCGGATAGTGGATAACGGATTATATTAGATGATTTGACTAGCGGATTGCATTAGTGGTTTTTAAATAAGTGTTTGGTAAATAGCTGAAAGCTTATAGCTGTTTGACATTGCAAATTACCAATAAAGACATTTTATTATTTAGGGTGTATTCTTTTAATAATATTATATTAAAACATTTAATATTTTTTAGTTGGTAATTTATAAATATATATATTTTGTTTTTAAATTTACTAACACTTGATTAAGAAGTTATGAATTTTACATTTTTCTAGATAAATTAATCATATGGATGACATATTATTATTTGTTAGCATCATAAACCAATATAGATTGTAAAATAAATAATACAAACTAAAAAGTTATAAATTAAAATTGTATATTGTGAATCCTCTATCCCCCCAAAAAGCTCCTCTAATTAGCTTTTTCTAAATTAGTGTTTTGGGCCTAAAAAGCTTATCAAATAAGCTATTTACCAAACAAGCTCGGGAAATTTACTCCTTCTAGTACACCTTTTAACATTATTTGTAAAAATACGAAAGTCA